GGCGCGCGCCAATGAAATTTGTTCAAATAAAATTGCTCTATAATTTACTAATGAGAAAAAGATTTGTTTGGACTCTAAGAGTTCTATTCTATTTACATTTGTTTCAAAAACAAATTTAATTTTAAATGAAACATATTTTGTTCAGTAAAAAAATGTAATTTTAATGAAAGTAATCACATTCTTAATTTAAATATTCATTTGGTTAGATTATTCCAATACATAAATTTGCATTAATTCAAAGAAATCTTTTCTCTGTATATAATTACATACTTTCTAATGTTTAAAACTTCTATTTCCTAACTTAATATTTATATTATATTTATATGTATAATATATATATTTATATAAAAATATTGATATATCTCTTATAATATACACATATAAATTAGATATTTCGTCGATTGAATGATCTGTTGAATTAATATCTTGACATAAAGAAAACATAAATTCTTTACAACAAGTGCTTCTTACACTTTACAATTTTTATTCAAGTAGTGTCCATTATCGTTAACGAAGTGGAGCATGAATAATGGAACGATCACCGTTGAGTTCCCTTAAGGTCGGCGGTTATTGCCATTTATGGGAAAAACTACTATTTCACAAGCTCGTTCAATTAAATACAATTTTTATTAAAATGTTAATTATTAAAATTTTTTCTAAATACAATGAGAGAATAAATTTTTATTAAATTAGAATAAATTAGAATAATTAAATTAGAATAATTAGAACAAGTTTAATTATTACAATAAATTATATTCTTTAAAGAGATAATTTGTTAATCTTAAAAGTGCGGAATATATTTTTTTAAATTAAGATTCATATTAATAAATATAAAAGGCAAAATTTCATGAATATACGATGCAAAGAATTATTTGAAAATGTTGCAGTAAAATTGCAACATATACGAAGACATCAAAAGTTAGGATTTTGTATATTATTAAATCACATTTTTAAATCATCATTGACCGAAATTCATAAATGATTTAAAAATAACATGTTTATCATTAATTTTTTTCTAAAGCTTTATAATATTAATATATTTAGAAATTAAAATTTTTTACATATTTTATATTAGAGCAATACTTATTTATCTTCAAAAAATCTAAAATTTTAATGTCAATACAAATTAACTGATATCTCTCTAGAATGTTACTATATATGTACATATATCTGTTCCTTCTTCGAAATCTAGCATTTACATTTTGCACAGCATTTACATTATCATATTTGTTTTCTTTTTTTAATAAACACGATAGATTGCATTGATCTATCCAAAATATCAACGCGCGGGGTGTGTGTGTGTGTGTGTGTGTGTGTGTGTGTGTGTGTGTGTGTGCATGTGTGTCAGATCACGCACCTTATCCTTGCCCGATTCGTTGTCGATTCATGTTCGATGTTAACGTAAACCCCAAGTTTCACTTTAACATGACCATCGAAAACAGTCACATAGAATGATAGATCTTGGCCTGCCTGAAAAGAAGAAGCAAAAAACGTAATTCAAGCGAACTCAATATCCGAACATTTGTGATTGCCATATATAGATACATTGTGTCGCCAATATTGAAAAGATATACTACATTCTTTCTTTGTAATAAATTTTTCAATAATTCCTATTTTAGTTCAACTCGTGCAATTTTTGTGTGAGTATGAAATATATGTATACATCGAAATAAATATATATATATATATATATATATA